CCCTGATATCCCTCATGGCATGGAACCCACGCTAAAGTCACCTTATTTTTACTATTTAGCTCTTTCAGGTCTTCTAGACAGTCTTTCACCAGTCGTGATTTGATTTCTGGTGAGAGAATTGCCTTTAGAGCTGCTTGACTATCAGAGTATATGGCAATAGTTTTGCCTGATACTTGCTGATTTAATATTTCTCTTGCACAATGTTGTATGGCTATTAGCTCAGCCTGGAACACTGTTGCATATTTTCCTAAACTCAGTGAAATCGTTGATTTCGATTCCAGCACCGGCTCCTTCCTTGGTTTTTGAACCGTCTGTGTACCAGACGAGTACAGATGTAAGGCTAGAATGAGTTCCTCGAGAAATTTATACGATTTTGATCACAATCTATTAGTAATTTTATATACCTACTCATAAGTTTTAAATAATATTATCTGTATTAATTTATCATATTTTAATAAAAAAAATTAAGGAATATACCTCTGAGAGTGTTGCTAGGTAATATAACAAGTTGGTTGAATCTGACAAATAATTATTTTGCCAGTTACATATTAAACGGCACTTTTAATAATAAATATCTTTATATACTTACAAATAAATGTCAGACAGTTAACTTCAATGTACCCGACCAAAACTCCGAGTAGGTAGCTGCAAAAAAGGTACCTAAGGTAGCTGCGGAAGGAAATGATACATGCTACCGGAAAAGTTTAGTAAGCAATTATGCACTTCCCGACTGTTTCTAAGGGTGCAAATTTACTTATTGCTAACCAAATGTGATTGTAAGTAGCTATTTGTGTATTAAGAACAGAAAGTAACACTTTGGTAGTTGAGACAGAAAGTTGTCGAGAAATCTGTCGAGACTGTCAAAAGACACTAATTTAATTAATCGTGGAGCACACAAAATTATAAAATTTCAGTCACTATACACTAACTGTTGCTTTCTTTGACATCGACTTACTTGATTCCTAAGTTGTTTATATGTTGTGTTGCCTACCTAGTACTATTAATGAGTATACAAGTTACATACTATTTAATTTTGGTACTTATAATAATATGTCTGTAATTATTTATGATTTAATCATTTTATTATTTACGGAAAATAATGTTGGATGATTTAAACTATTAGGACATCAATTAAAATATTTATTTAGACTATATTCTGTGTTTAAATAACTTTTTTATCTATAAATAAAATTAGGCGTGCCACAAAATTACTTACCACGTAAGAGCGCCAATAATGTCAAATTATGACAGCTTGCAGAAAACATAAACTTTCGTAGTGATCGTAGAAAAAATATTTAAATAAGAGGAAACTGTTAATTTTATAACAAATATGAGGAAAACGGAAGCAATATAACAACATTATAACCGTGGATTATAATAATGGTTATAGTTAAGGATCTAAATATTGCTCTTAACTGTGAAACTGGACTGAAATTTAATTATTTTACGCCAGATTTCTGAAAATTGCCGTGGCAATCAACGTGTTAAATTGCAACGATGCCAGCTCAGTAAATAACATATTATTTTGGAAATAAGAAATTTAATCTAACATTCGTATTTACAAACCACTTTATATTTGCTTACAAGTAAATCCATCAATCAATCTCCTTTAGGCATTCCAAACAAAATGGTTGCCCGTGGGTAATGACAGGTTATGATATGGCATTCTTCTGGGCCTGGAGATTTGACAAAGTCAATGATACATATATGTTAATATTACTATTATAATTAAGCATTCCAACGACCTGTCAATATGCTGCCCATGGAAACTGACAGTTTAGATATGGCAACCCTGTGGGCCTGTTGTCATTGTGATATATAGTTAGATAGATTGCTCAAAGCGGATCGTTTGCGAGCGGCCATATTACCCGGCAAGTGTTCATTAATTTGAATCGGTTTAGCAAAAATGTATTTTGAAACCAATTTCCAGCCTTTGAATATTAAAAAAAAAAAACAAATTGCCTATATTTTTACTTCAACACATAAGATTGTTTATTTTTAAAAACATGGATGATCAATCTATATAACTATCTATATCATTGACCCTATCAAACCACCAGGCTCACAATGTTGCCATAGTATAACCTATCATGTGCCTGTCATTTCAAATGGGCAGCCATTTTGTTTGGAATGCCTAACTGATTCGAGTGATGATTGGGAGAGGAATGACTTATGACAGTTGAAGATATTATAGAAAGGTGTCTCCCTTGGAATAAAAATCGACAAAAAAAAACATCCTGTACATACATACTTACACAATGGTTGTCCCACAAAAGACGCATAAAATTTAAAAAAAACCTCTGTATTAGGTCAGATTCGAGGTCCTCAAAATGTTTTGCAAAGCAAGTTCCTAGGAATGACGCTATTTTTCTTATTAGTATTTAACTTACCCGAGAAACAGAATTTCTGTTGTTTAAAATGAACTTTCCTTTTCACGAAACGTCCTGTAGAGCGTACAATACCGTGAATATTGTATTAGGCGCCAATTTCAATTGGATTTTTATCACATCTCGGACGAATTCATTCCCAGTCCCGTCTCACCGGCACATATCGCATGCGATTCGAAGAAAAAGAACTCGGGAAAAAAAAAGAAGAAAAGTGAGATGGAAGTGTTGAATCCGGCGTGCTATTCGTGGGCGTCGGATCGTCAGTGAAACCGTAGCTAACGCGATCCACTAGTGAAATTGATGGCGAGGACATAACATCTGAAGAACGCTTCGGGCTCAACAGGGCAATGTGCAAAACCATTATTCGTTCAAATCCTTCTGAAATTTCTTATACATGGTGTCACATGCACATTGCTAAGTTTAATAGATATAAATCAGGGCCACCTAGAATTAGGCACGTAACATCTAATTTATGACGTCAAATTATATTATAAATCTTACTTCATGACCATTAGAATGATTACATTCTTAAAAGATTAACAGCCTGTTGTTAGAACATTAATTAAAATGTATGGGCTTGATACACTTCAGAATGTATACTGTCTGATTTATAAGTTTCTCACAACTTTCTGGTCTAACTCAAATAAGAATGACAAAATAGTTATTGGTCAGTTAGATATCTCATAACTATTTTATTATTCTTATCTGAGCTAGACCGGAAGGCTGTAAGAACGTAACAGATTTGGCGCTCAACGTGGGGCTATCGAAATACCATGATTCAAACGATTCTTCATCCTAATATACGGTCATCGATAGCAATCGGTCCATCTTGTCAGTTTTTTCACAAAGATCTCCTTCTGAGGACTTAACAGAATTGGCGCTCAAACGTGGGGTAAGCGAAGAAGCATGATTTAAACGATGCTTCATCCTAGTATACGATCATCGATAATAATCGGCACATTGTGTCAGTTTGTTTGCAAAGATCCCCCCTCTGAAAACGTAACAGAATTGGCGCTCACAACGTGGGGCTATTAAAAAAGCATGATTTAAACGATTTATTTATCCTTATATACGGTCATCGATAGCGTTCAGTCCATCTTGTAAATTTTTTCGCAATGATTTCCTAAATATTCGCTAGAATTCCACATTTTTACGACATTTAGGAACTATAAAAAAGGTTTGTTTAAACGTTACATTAATGACATAAAACTTCAAATTGCTCATTCTTAACAACAACTGTCATAGTGTACAACTGTAAAATACATAAAAGATTGAAAGTGTAGATTAAATTTGTCTATGAGCAACATTTAAATTGGCAACATCCAGTCTGATCTTTGGTAATTTCCTAGTTTTGACACAGATAGACTTCACTTGTCAATTGTCATGACAAGATGGTCACTGTTGTGTTTTATGTCGTAGAGTCAGATGCATGGCGATTAAACAATAATTATTTTATGAGTTTTATTATGAAAATATTATTTATTTTATTAGTTGCTTAAAAGAAGTAATAACTACAAAAGCACAATTTTGGATCACATTCATGGCTTATCCATTGGATTTTTATTTACGTTGAAATTACAATATTTGGTAAGGTGGTGTTAACTGGCACAATAAAGAACAACTATCCGGGTATACAAAATTCTCCACAGACGATTTTGTGGGACTGTCTAATGACTCGGGCTTCGGGGTATTCTCGCCAGACCTTAATTACATATTTTCAAACAGACTGTCTGACTTTTCAAATATGTACTGCAGAAATTATTGCAATATAACATGCCTTTAAAATTATTTATCTTGCAGAAACTGATATTGATTCCAAAGCATTCTGAAATTACTGGCAACCACAAAACTGAACAATTAGAAAATATAAAATATCCTGTAGATATAATAAAAAACATTTCCTGTCTCTTCCATAAGGCTCCTTCTGTTTTGATTGTTCCCAATCATAATGGGTCATTCACTGAAAGGCTAAACGTTGTGTATCCTTAAACTCATGTGTTCGGGCGATGTCGGTCGTACTCGGGGTTTGCAGATACCGAATTTTTATGTGCAACATGGCTACGGTAATTTCAGCCTTCGCTCCATTCTAGAAACCACTTAGGCAATACAACATAACGTTGGTGTAAGTTTGATTGCATAATTCATCCATTAATTGAGTTATCCGAGATGCTGCCTGCCAGATGGAAAGCAATGATTTATATTGTTTAAAGTGAAAGTGCAAAAATTGCGTCTAACATAACATAGAATATCATAGATGTAAACTCCGATGGCAACTAAAATATTTAGTTCTTTGAAGACACTTCGATAACTTTTTTCAGGTTTAAAATTAGCTAAAATGCGTATAGAATTGTGTTGGATAATAAAAATGCTGTTAAGAGGGAGATAAAAGATAGTATAGTATTATTTTTTGTGTTTAATCGTATGTTTTTAGTTTTTATTCTATGTTGGCCTTGATCAAGGTGGTTACTTTCTTAAATTCTTGACATGGGACAAGGCCGGCTTATATTTAATAAACCATAAGTGTTTAAATACAAACGAATGGTTCTATTTAAATATACTACTTGTATTATCTAAGAATATAGCCTAAAAAAGAAAAGGAAAATAAGGCAACAGTTAAACAGCAAATATATACTTTATTAGTCAAAAGGCAAAACAATAACAAAAACATCACACCATCGCTTTTGTCTCACTGCATCGCATCGCAACCCGTACTCTTAAATACCTTTGGGCAAGCTTTACAGCTGCACGATTTACATTTATTTTCCTCAGGCATTCTTCTTTGTACTGGAGAACTGCTTCGAGTGCTTGAATCTTCAACTCTTCGTTGCTGGCGTTGGGGAGGATCATTTCTCGAAGTGGCAGCGCTTGAAGCAGCTACGCGCGAATTAGTGACACACGAACATTCATTAGGTTGGTTTGGATCTAAGTGACGCTGGTCCTGAACCAAGCTCGGAGCGCGAGTAACAGTAACCATATTCACAATCATCAACATCAACAAAACTGGAAAGATCGAAAATATAATCACAGCTCTATGTCCAATTCTGTTAGCCACAACGCCAAAAATGAGCGGTACTGTAAGCCCGGCCAAAATATTAGCGGACTCCGATGCTTTAGTGAGGTTAGGATTTCCCCTTTCTGTAATGAACGCGTTCCATGTATCAACGATCATAATTCTGGAAAATGTAACTGGGATACACATCAAACAGAACAGCCCCAAAACCGGTGAGTAAAGGGCCAGAATCGATGACGTAAACAGTATACTACACATCGCGTTTATAATCAAAGTTGGTGAATAGCGACTAGCCTTGGCCCTTTCCATCAAATCATGACAAGCTTCAATACCCGCAAAGATCACTATATTCATGTATGCGGTTACCAAACCGATTTCGGTATGATTGGTGTTATAGTTGTGTTTCAAAACCGGAGAATATTTGGTCGAAAATATTATAACGCTTGCGCTGAAGAGATATTGGAGGACCAACACGTCCCAGTTAATTATGCTGTGAGGATGCAATAGTTCAACTACACTGCGTTCGACAGTTTGCCGGACTCTTCTAACAGCTGGAACATCACTGGGTTCTGAAGGAGGGTTATCTAAGAGTGGAACTGTAGCTAAAAGCCCTAAAATGATAAACGAAAATACTGTGCAAATTACTACAACCCTTTGTGTCATCTTGACCACTCCGGTTTTTTGAGCTTACTAGCTTTAGCAACTATAATCCTTCTCCAGGACCTCTAGGGCTCAGCAGTACTCATTCATCTCACATCTTCGATGAATAAACGTTATCATCCAAGATGTGACCGAAGAATTCACTGCTTTACTACTACAAGTACAAGGGCACAATGACCACAGCCTCCTCATTTTTATCAATTATATTAAATTGGAAAAATGCCTTTCAGTTAATTTTGCTTGGTCATACATAACACCGATTCCATCATTGGTTCTTATTTGAGCATCGTTTAATCTGGGAAAATCCTTATCTTGAATGGTACTTTTTCATTAAAGTCCAAGTCTTTTCAGATGCTTGTTTTATTAAAGTGTAAAAAGATATTAAAAGATACAGAAAGATATTAAAAGGTATAGAAAGATATTAAAAGGTAAAGAAAGATATTAAAATGTATAAAAAGGTATAGAAAGGTGTTAAGAGGTATAAAAAGATATTAAAAGTTATAGAAAAATATTATAAGGTTTAGAAAAATAAAGGGCATAAAAATATATTAAAAGGCAGAGAAAGATATTAAAAGGTAGAGAAAGATATTAAAAGGTAGAGAAAGATATTAAAAGGTATAGAAAGATATTAAAAGATATACAAAAATATTAAAAGGTATAGAGAGATATTAAAATGTACCAAAGGATATTGAAATGTATTAAAAGGTATAAAAAAATATTAAAAGGTATATTAAAAAGTATAGATCGATATTACAAGGTATAGAAATATATTTAAAGGTATTAAAAAATCATTGAAAGCAGGTAAAAGGCGTTAATAGGACTTTAAAGGTTTTAAAAAGCATATATGTAAAAACTTTTGGTCTAGATCCCTGATATCTACATAGATATTATCAAATTTATAATATACGTAAAAGTGGATATATGATAGGTAAGGAAAGATATTAAAAGGTATAGAAAGATATTAAAAGATATACAAAAATATTAAAAGGTATAGAGAGATATTAAAATGTACAAAATGATATAGAAATGTATTAAAAGGTATAAAAAATATTAAAAGGTAGAGAAATATATATTAAAAAGTATAGATCGATATTACAAAGTATAGAAATATATTTAAAGGTATTAAAAAATCATTGAAAGCAGCTAAAAGGCATTAATAGGACTTTAAAGGTTTTAAAAAGCATATATGTAAAAACTTTTGGTCTAGATCATTCCAAACTCTGATATCTACATAGATTTATTATCAAATTTATAATATACGTAAAAATTGATATATGGTAGGTAAAGAAAGATATTAAAAGGTATAGAAAGATATTAAAAAGTATAAAAATAAATTAAAATATACTAAAGGGTATAGAAAGACATTAAAAGGTATAGATATTAAAAAGTATAGCAAGATATTAAAAGGTATACAAAATATTAAAAAGTATAGGTTATTAAACTACAGGTATTTATCCTACTACAAAAATAATAAGTATTTTTGTTTGTAGAGGTAAGTTGTTGCTTGCCACTCAGAAAACCGAGGAGAAGTGTCAAGATGACATTTAGTAAATATTTGTATATAATTTAGTCTTACAAATATTGATGATCGTCAGCACAGAAGCAATGAAACAGCTAATGGTAAAGCTTATGTCGAATAAAGCGCCGGTTATTGCAGGTCCGATAACGAAACCGGAAGAATGCAGAATGTTATAAACGTTCATGTGATATTCTTTGCGGTCAGGTGGAAGATTTTTGATTATGTAATCCTTAATCAAATTAGTGGATTGATTCGTGGAAGCTACAAAAAATATATAATAAAATATGTAAATAGAATCTTTAGCCAACGTTGCTAATTTAACAAGTGTAGAAGGCCACTTTAGTGACCGAAATGTAAAAGACCACTTCATTATAAAAGAAGGGGAGGAAAGAAAGGGGAAAAGGTATGAATATAGCGGGACATGCCGCAACAAAAAAGATAAAATTTTGTGTTTGTAGTTATTATGTTAATACAGGTGTTTAATCAAAGAAGAGTCAATTATTCGTGTAAGAACCTCTACACAAGAAAATCAGAATTATATATCTCGTTTAATTTTGAAACCTTATTGGTCTTGCTTATAAAATTCAATAAACTACAAATTTATTTTTTGTTTTTAAAAGTATGACAAATATTTAATATTTTTCCGGTATGAAATATGTATCTAAAAATATGTAAAATTATGTTTATATTAATTTTGGTTAAATTGGGGTAAATTTTGCATCTTCAAAAAAGCATCTACAAATCCGCTATATCTATTGTGTTGATACTTTTTTCATTAAAATAAAGAACTTCGAAAAACCGAAAAATAAGAAATTTTTGCATTAATTTATTGTCTAATCTAAATTATGTATTCAAAGTTGTCACCGTTTATTTCAACACATCGATTCATCAGTAAAACCGAACAAATAAAGGTAAAAACATAAAAAAGAAACACACTTCTTATTTAGTTAATCTTTTTGTACACAAGTCCATTGCCGGATTTAGATTGTTTAATTATATAGCAAGTTTTTTGAAAAACATGTTTAGTTTAATAACTTTAATACACAGTTAAAAAAAGTTTATAAATTAATTCTGGCAACAGAGTTGCAATATCTATTTTGTTGTTACTGTCAAACGAAATTAATGACTAGATATAATTTTTTCTACACCCGTATTATAATAATGCACTTATATGCCCATAATCCGTTTCATAATGATACCCATTATGATACAGATTTTTCATTATGATACAGATTTTTAATCAATAGAAACCTACAATTTTTCAATCAAGCATGATGTTTGACGTTTGTCCTAAATTCCTATGTAATTGTTTTAGTTGTCAAAACGTATTAAATTTTCGTAGATAGCTAAACTTCGATAATTATAATATTAAAATGTCTGATATCAGCGATATAGAAGACTTCTCCACACATATCGGAGAAAGGAGAAAATGCAGTACAAAATATTTTGCCCCAAAAATCTGTGGTAATACCAATACCCAAGGTAATACCATTAATTACAATTTTGTAGAATTTTTTATAGAAATACGAGTAATTACTGTTATTGTGTTCAATGCCAATATAAATAGAATATTTATAGGTCTTGATTATTTATCGGGTGTAGAAAAAATAGCGTATGCAACTCTCATGTAATGGTTATTAAAACACTCGCATAAACCATACGAAACTCGCCTTTGGCTCGTTTCGTATCCCGGTTAATGCTCGTGTATTAATAACCATCATTACATGATCGTTGCATAATATACTATTATATACCTACGTTTTTTTGTTAATCAATTATATATTAACTTACAAAAGAGACATCTCGCCATTATAATGCTACAAGTACTAGACGTCAAAAATAGTAGAGCATGGCTTAAAGCGGCAATGTTGAAAATGTTAATTAGAGCTGCCTTTTGTCCTTGAACATTGACGATATCACTCTGAAAAATAGTATACATATATATTATCTAATAAAATAAAACAAAGTATAAAAATAACTGTATAATAATCCAAGATAATCTGAAAAGTATAGGTAGGTTACCTATTCAGATATGACCACTGTGGAAAGACGCATTATATTAAAAAATTACAGAGGTAAGATATTGTAACATGTATTTATTTAAAACAGTTTATTATTTAATTTATTTACAGCTAACTATATCCACTAATTTATTTCAAATTAACAAAAAAGAGATTTTATTACTACCAGCCCTGCTCCCACAATTTATGACTAAAAAGTTGATGACACGTTTGATTTTTGTTAAAAATACTTCACAAACTTATTAACCACAAATACGCTATTAAACACGTTAAAAATCGACTTAAGATCCTCAACAGTTAAAAACTTAAAACAAAAGTACATATGAAAGAGCTTTTGGGCTAAAATTCATAGGTATGCAGAGATTGGGATACAAATAGTCAAACACTAATGAAAAAAATATGCAAACAAACTTTGTGTCAAACGTCAGCCTTTAAAAGTTCCGCTTTCGCACCAAAATACGTCATGTCACGTGATTTCAATCTGCGCAATATCATACCTAACGTACCTATATAATTATTGCCAATAAACGCTACTTGTTTAACATTCATCAACCTCCACCGTCACAGAACACGATGAACGATACAATTTACAATGTAGATGTGGGAAGGTAAAGCAGGGACAGAGGTTGGAAAGGTTTTTCACAGTTCTCCCACAGGAATTGACAGTTTTATCTAAGCGAATAGTTGTTGAAATTTTGTAGAATTATGATTTAGGATATTATTACTTGTTTAAATAATTATTTCTAGCCAATAAATAGATATGATTGCCCGGTAATAATTAAAAATAGTCGGTATTAGTTTTATTCTACGATACGGCAGATACTACAGATAACGTACATGTTAGACCGAGTTTAAACAGTAACGAGGCAAGTTCGTATGATGGAAAACTGTTAAATTAGAACATAACAGGCGGAAAATAATAGTAATCTGTTGGAAAAAGTTTTTCATCACACGAACTTGCCTCGTTACTGTTAAAACTCGATCTAACATGTACGTTACGGATAACGTAAACGTTCAATCATAGCACCCATTACCGCGAAATAATTCTCGAAGTCGTCCGACGGGGTTTGACGTTTACCGCCTCTCTACCTACTAAAAGCCTTGCTTACTTCTGGCCCTGCTATAGTTTTGGAGAGTTGCCTATATTGAACCGGCACATAAATTCATAGCTATTATACGCAAATTTGCATTCCCGCGCCATCTATCGGTAGAAAACTAAAGTTTAGACCGGTCGGCAGGCAATCTAAGGTGCCATTCAATTTGGCGCCATATAATCAGCTGTGCACTCGACATTGTTTTTCTAGTGAATATTCTTCAAGCAGATAGCAGTAAGTATTTTCCCTTGTATAAACATTATTAGCTAGTTCCGCGGAGCTGATCCCGAACGTATTCTAAACGCTAAGGTGAAAATTAAACTGCATATTATAACTAGATTTGTATTGTTTAAATGTTTATATAGATGTGTAGGCTTTACCATAGCGTTCAGAACACGTTCGGGATCGGCTCCGCGAACATAGCTTATACCATACTCTTGAAAAGACTTTCTCAATATTTCGACCTAAAATTATTGTTCCTTACAAAAATGTAGTTAGAAAAATAAAACGATACGCTGTTGCCTATATTAAACCGATTCCCGGTTCCTATATTAAATCAGTTAAATTTATGATACTTATTTCAGAAGATGTCCAAGCGAGGCAAGTGTGGACTTTGAACAGAAACTGACATAACTGTGGCTATCAGAGCATACAAAAAAGGCAAGGTGGGTTTAACCGAAAGTACTCGAAGGTGCAATATCATTAAATCCACCGTAAGTATGTTTTTTCGTCCTAAATTAAAAAAAAAACTTCAGTAAAACATATTGTTCGATTTTAAGAAATGCTTTATGGATTAATTTACCATAAGAGATATACTATCTTTTCAGCTTGCAAACAAACACAAATTGCCCTATCCATTCAACCGAGAAAAAAAAGGTCTCTGGTAAAAAATGGTTTTATGGATTCACCCAGAACTAGCAGTTCGACAACCTGACTCCACATAACTCACAAAAGCTTTAGAAAAAGAAAGTTATGCACTCTTTTGATATTCTGGAAACCCTTGTTGATAAATATAAAAAAATTAAAGCGAATATAATTAAAACGGCAAGTTAATGGAATCGCCAGCGGAGGAAGAAGCATCAAAACCACTATGGTTTGTTCTTGCAACGCTGCAGGGCGTTACATTTCACCCATGTTCATATTAAAAAGAAACCGGTACTTGCACGAGGTAACTATATCAATGACAAACATTTCACATGAAGTCGTTAAGTCAAGTCAAAACAAGCCTGTCCTTATTTTACTAAATGGTCATTCAACGCTTAGCAAGAATCTGGAGGTTCTGAAGTTTACTCGTCAACACCATACTCATCTTTTACAATTACCTAGCCATACAACGCATCGGTTACAACCGATCGACGTGGGATTTTAAGCCCCTGCAATATTATGTTCAGGGGCAAGATTCATGGCTTCGGGCTTATGTTTGACAGGCGATAACAGTCTAGAATGTTAGTGAATTGTTAGATAGAACTTATGGGAAGGAAGCTACTGTAGGTATAATCCAAAATGCTTTTAGAGGAGCGGAAATATGGCTTTTAAATCAAATTAGATTCGGTGAGCATCTATTTACTTCCTCTATTGCTGTCGAGCCCCTAGATGAAAGTCAAGAAGATGGTGTTACCCTACCAGAACCTAGTAACCTTGAACCTACTGCAGGTCCTACTTTGTCACATCAACCTAGTTCAAGCTGCACCTCTCAATCAGATAGCAACTTAACCATGCATACTAAGAATTGCTAACCATTCCAATAGAGTATCGGGGGAAATTACTCCAAAGAAACTGAACCAAATCCCGAATTAATTCGCGCCTGTTGCCTAAAAGCGACAAAAAACAGCTGCTAGTGCAGTGGAGATTACTAGTACCAAAAGTGTCGGAACGAGATAAATCTGCTAACCTTAAAACAAAAGATTAGACATCCGAATCGATCGATTCAAATGATGACAAAAGAGCTGTGTGTGTACTACAGTGATAGTTAAATCAACTACCTTAACTCCAAACCAAACGAATATTGGATTCGGTGCCAAAGTTGTTTGAAATGAACATATACTCAGTATGCTAGAGTTCAAGAAGAGGTCGAGGACTTTAATTGTCATTTATGCTTACAAATTTTCAAATTTGAGTTATGCCATCAATTCTTCTACCTCAGAATTATTGTTCCTTTTGTCAACTTTAAATGTAACAACAATTTAAGTGTCCTTAGCTTGCTTAAAATGTTCATTAAGTTTCATTACTCCCTTAAGAATATGTTACTGTGTTACCATATCGATTAAGAGAAAATAAAATAGTTTCTGTAAACTAATTAAGAGTGTTTTTTAATAATAAGTTCAATTTAGGAACTAGTTGGTTCAATTAAAGAGACCTGGGACCTATTTCATAAAACTACCTTGCAACTTTTCACTTTGCACTTTGCAAATTTACGAGAACAAAATACTTGTGATTCATGAAATAATATCGTTAACTTAGCAGATTATTAATTTTTCATTTTCAATTTTCAAATTACTTTCCAAATTTTACTTTTTAATCATTAAATGTCTCTTGTATGGAACATAAATTTAGTAAAATATGCAAAGAGAATTTTAATACAAAACATTCAATTTACTAATTATAGTGATGTTTCCAAAAGTTGTTCAATATAGACAACTCTTCCCTATTCCTTATGATCTCGCTGAAACAGTGGCCATATCTGTATATATTAAAATGTAGTCTCACGTCTAAATTGAAATTCATTTCGGAATCTGGGATATACCAAATTTTATTGCTGGGTAATTTAATGAATACTTACAACTATGTGAATGGACATCAGTTGAAACATTAACGTCAACACGGTGAATATCCCAATTGTCACTTGGTCACCTCCTAGGTGCATTAAATACGGAGAAATAAACACATACAATAATCCATAGCTAAAAGAATCCTAGGAAAAATAATGTTATGTGAAATATTTATTGTGAATTTTTTGTAAATTCGGTGAAATTAAATAAAATAATCAAATTTACAAATAGTCAATAGACATCATATATGCAGTGAGTATTTATTACAATGGCATGAACCTTTTCTGGCCGTGAATCCTGGATTCGAATTCCTGGGTTCTAATCCTGCTATACATCGTATTGATTGTTTTCAAAAAGAAAGTGAAAATAAACTGGATAAAGACAATATTATGAATATTTAATAGACGTTGTTGGCATCGTATTTTTCTACTCAATTTAAAAAGAAATCGATGAAATTTATCATTTAGCAATAACATTTTAAAGTGTTCATAAAATCAGCGTTAAAAGACACAATAAACAATATATTTATATTAAAAGTAATTAAATAAGATTGACCAGTTAAATTTTATGTTCCATTATGAATTAAAGTAAAAGACATAGGTATTTGTTTTTAATGATTACCTCATGACTTGTCTTACAATCGACGATAAAACAACTTTGTGTTTGATGAAATTGTATATTAATACAATTCCTTATTGTGAGTTAAGTACATATTGTCTCTAAATAATATTTTAGTATAAGATTGAAAAAAAAAACATCGAATATTAACCAATTATTATGAACAGATTTAAATTTATTTGATAGAATGTTTAATATCGGAACATTAACTATTACAACTAATCATTTTAATATGGGTTAAAGCGACCGTAATATTAGAATCTGTCCTTATAGAAAATGTCGTTTTGTGATAATCAGTACATAATGATACAAAAAAATTCAGAGGTATGATACTTAGCCGACGAAATCTCGTCGAATTCGCGCATGACGTAGTGCGGTGAGTACTTTACAATTTATTTTCGCGAGCTGTTTTCGATCAGCTGATACCTCAAATTCGTAAAATCAACGCCTCCGCGCCACAATACCTCACTGTGACATAGTATCATACCTTCTTTTTATAGTAGATTCATGTGCGGTAAAAATCCTGAGCTGATTCATAACAATTCCTGAAACTGTGCGCTGAACACCGCATTCGGTTAGCGACGCATGGTCGCCATCGCATGCGACGGAAAATTTGTATTCTTGACCACATGACCACCCTTCGTTAGTTTAGTTTCGTGTCGCATGGTGCAGCAAAGAGTCTTTGATTATTACAGCAGATCAATCGTTTTCAACCAATCAAATTTCAGAACAATATATAAAAACTGTATTATCGGCTAAAAAATGTCAAAAAAATTAACCTGTGTGAGTGTCAAATTAGTAGTTTCTATCATTATTCAAATAAATTTGAGGTAGGTATTTGGAAATGGAGATTGAGAATGAACCGAAATTAGCGAAATTAGCAAAATAATATTATATTGTGCCTCTTCAATATTTTGTATTAATTGTATAAGGGCAAATTCCTCTATATCGTTCATTTTATAAAAAATGTACACTTATAAATACAATAACTATGAAGACTAGTCTTCATAACAATAACTAAGTAAAGTTAATGATATAATGACTAATGAACATTTAGTAATTATAAAAAATTCATTAAACAAAAAACTAGGAAAACTAATATTTTATATTAGATCTATGCACCTACTTTGATTACTATACGGTGCAAGAGAGAGGTCCGACACGCCCAACATAGGGCGCAGCCATTTTGATTCCTATGCTACAGTTTATAGCTAAAGAATCAGATCACTCACTCTACGTCGGCACTTTTGATCTCAATGTTCCAGTTTATACACTGCGCAACTCGGATAATACAATATATGACAACCGCCTATAATAAAACAGCAGTCTTCTGCGCATCCTGAATTTGTATCCCTGGAGTGGATATTATTTTGGAACATTCAACTGGTCCAAGTGAACTAACTGATTCTTTAGCAATAAACTGTGGCAGAGTGTTGAAAATATTTTTGAGTGTTGAAAATATTTTTTATCTCTGCTATTTTCTTTCGACTTTATTCAATAATCATTGGTTACTTATGAATCTCTACTAAAGATACCTATAAAATAATTTGCTGAATATCCGAATTTTTCTATATCCTGGGATATAGACGGATATTTGTTTGGATATCCATATTGGATATCCACAGAATATATTCTGTGGATATCTCTGGGATTTCTTGTATTGTCTGGAAGATACTCATTAGATATTTTGCTGGATATCCATATGATATCTTCTATATTCTGGATATAGACGGACATTTGGATATCCATATTAGATCCACGGAATATTACTGATATCCTGTGGATATATTGGATATCCACAAAAGATATTCTGTGGATATCTCTGGGATTTGGTGTGTTGTCTGGGTGTGAATACTAGAATAGCTACTTTTGTCAAAGTTGTTATACGGTTACTATAAAAATAATACAACTTGTATGTGGTGTAGATCAGGCTTTTAACAACTTAACCTTCGAGTCGGAAGTGCCGGGACGTCAAGTGAAGTGTAATTTTATCATTTGGAAATGGTTACATTTTGTCGGTGGACTGGCTTGAAATTAAAAAAAAAAAAACTTAATACATCAAAATGTATTATGCAATTTTATCTCAAGCGAATCTGCAGGCCTTTTGACGATCTGAGAGGTCCATATTTCTTTCTCAACATCTCAGCAACTAGTTATTATGCTTAAGCACCAAGAATATTTAACTACTTCTAAGACACTCGAAATCCACTTTTATAACCACTAGTTGTTATAGATTTTATTTTAGAGAATTCTGATTTTTTCAAAGTGGTAACATAACGACTGACCTTGGTCTAAGCCACTTGCTAGCTAGCAACTGCATGATACAGAATAGACTACATAATAACATTTTAAAATATGATACCATTATGGGCCAATCCATTGAAAAATAAGAACAAAAATAACGAATAAGAACGAAAATTAAAAAATATTTGTCATGAATAGATTTATAATAATTAATCGATGATGGACTGTAATTGTAGTATTTTTTTAATAAATAATTTACCGAAAATTACATTGTTTAAATTTATTTACCAGAATATGATAGTGCCAATCGATGTTTTATACAACCTCTATTATCAGGTTTTTAAATTTACCGCGCCATTTTTGTTTATATCGATGAATGTACCACATAGTGGGTCAGATGTTAACGGCGTTTCAGCTGGTCGTTGTTAATCATGTGCTTCTTATGAGCGTTTCCTATGTTAAACAGTAATATGCAGTTAATTTTTACCTTATCATTCAGAATCAGTTCAGGATTGTTACCGCAAACGAAGCTATTATTAGTAGTTATAATTCGGATAATCATTCTTACAGCGAACTAAGCTTGTAAATTTTAACAAATTTCTGCGCATGAGCGCATATCAGTTAGAAAACCGGTGATGCACAGAGTACAATGATATATATAGTTATATAGATTGCTCATCCACATGTAAATCGATTGGCGAAAAGCGAGTTTCACTGGGTTTCTCTTTTTCTAATACATATTAGGTCTTTTCCTTTGCATCGAAAGTGTAGCACTAAGCTACAACACTTCTAAAAATATCGTTCCATTTATACAAATTGTATGGATGGAACGATATTTTCAGAAGTCACGTAACTCAATGCTACACTGTCGATGCAAAGGAAAAGACCTACTATGTTTATGTTTTGTCTCCATTTTGAGTAGGTACTCGGTTGTAAACAAATCATTTACAGAATTGGTTTATAAATTTGAATCTTTAGTGTTTTCTTGTCATTGAAATTTTACAGATTAAAATGTTCATTTTATAGATAGATAGTAAATATAATCTTATTAAAATATTACCTTTGATAAAAAAATGTGGTCATATTTATAATAACGCAACAATTTACAACAGTTCTTTATAATTAATAATAACAATTGTAGATATGTAATTGATATAATAATCTGTTTGATATGAACATCTGCATCGCCCTGTAATAATCAACTCAGATCAATATATTTATTTTTGTTAACAAAATTAAAATTTGGTCTCATTAAATTAAAATTTAGGTTGGGTTCACTCATTTAATGCTTCAAACTTTCAATAATTTTGATAACCAATACAAAATAAATTTAAATACCTTAATCATAATGGATCTAAAAGAGGGAAAAGGAAAAGAACAGAATGAGAGAAACAGATAGAATAATGCAAAGAAACAGAAAAAATAAGACAGGAATATGTGTATGAAATGTAAAACAAAATCTTCAAAGGGGAAAAAGATGAATCAATAAGGAATGGAACACAATTAAATAAAGAGAGAGAAAATCAATAATGGAAATATTGATGAAACTGATGAATATAACATGGACAATGAAGAAAATAGATATGAATGTGAAGAAACTGGACGAAAATAGAAGAGAAAGAAGTAACGGTGCAGATGATAGGAAAATGGAAGAAAATATAGATGAAATGGAAAAGAAAATGAGGAAGAAATTAGAATAATCGATAAAAGAAAAAGAAGGTAGAAGAGCAGATAAAGATAAGATGACAAAACAAGAGAGATTAAGAATGATAAAAGGGTGGAAATGATTGGCAGAAGTTAAATATTGAAAATTTACAAGACATTCGGCGCATATTATGAATAAAATAAAGAAAGAAATATTCAAACAAAAAATTGAAGAAAATAATTTAAGCAAAAAAATAGAAGACTGAAGAAATATGTATTAGTAAACAAAATAAAAAAAAACAAAATTAAAGAATTAAAAAAGAAATCGGTAAAGAAAATATTATTTTATAGAATCTTTCTATTGTGTTCAAATTGTATTCTAATATTTGTTAAAATAATAATAAAACAATAAATTAAGGAACCTCTTTTTTTAATATTTAAATGCTGAAATTTTATTTTAAAACACATTTGGGCCAGAACGGTCCTTTTTAGTAAGCATATTAACATTATGGGTGAGCAATCTATGTGACCCATCTATATCATTGATAGAGCACCAAAACGTTTATTTTTCTAGGGCAGCAGAAACATTTTAATATACATGCATACAAAATTAATAAAATCAGACAATATACATGTGTTTTACATACCTACTGGTTAAAAATAATTTGGTGGCTGTTAAAGTATACTGAATTTCAAATTAGAAATGTAATATAAAAATTTAAAATTAAAGGAATAAATATAGGTACTCACTAATAGTGCTATAACCTGTAGTCTGAAAATAATTTCGTTTCTGTCCATTCTACTGAAGACAATTTTAAAAAATCATGTTTTTTTCTGCAATTTATATATTTTAGATAAATCTTCATTGATTTGAAAAATAGGTTTTACATGAGTGAATTCATCAAGGATTTTGTTGGTTTTCAGCATCACTGAATATTGATTTCTAATTTTCGTTTAAATTTAAATATCTTTGTGAGAAAAATTGGTATTTTCATTGCTTACATTTTTGCAGAATTTTGAATTTTTAAAAATTGTAATATTTTATATAAAATCAAATGACAAATGACATGTTTTCTTCTCATGGAACATGTAACAAATATACTACAAAGACCTTCTATGACTAGATAAGCTGATAAACAAAGGATGTAGATGTAATGTATGTTATAACTATAATAGTTGAAATGTAAAGATTTGTTTCTACAGAAGCTTGTGATAACAAACCATTTGTGAAACTACTATGATTTAATAATTTTTTACCTACGATCACTATTGGAAAACAGACAAAAATACACGACAAACAGCTGCAGTAAATAGCTCATTATGTAAATTGCGCAGTAATCAAAATACACTGTAATCAAGAAGCACAGTGAACAACACGCCCAGCATACATTATACAAGTATTTGCACAGATAAAGCAGGGGTAGAAGTTGGAAGGAAAGGCTTTTTGCTGTTCTCCCACTTCATACACAGAAATTGACAATTTTGCGGTTAAGCTAACCGAAGTGGACGCGATATATTGGCGTACAAAATTATTTTATAGATATTAAGAACAATTTCGGGAAAATAGTTTAATAAATTGTGAACAGCGGTTGAAATTTTGTAGAATTATGATTTTTGGGATATTATACTTGTGTAATAATTATTTCTAATCCATAAATACATGCAATTGTCCGGTTCCCCCGGTAACAATTTAAAATTCTAGACGTAGTCGGACTTGGTTTGACGATTACTCCCTTTCTACCTACCAAAAGCTTTTCCAACTTCTGCTCCTGCCTATACCTGTGTAGGCGGTCGTAGGTATAGTATAGTATACTACTTCTTATTTTGCTATTTAAACCTTATTTCTTTTTAGAGATTACATCACAAATAAATTTATAATGAAGTTACCGTAGTTCAATAACATTTTTATTACATATTTTTTGCAATTTATTTGTGTATTTTTAAATTCTATAATAGTTGAAGAAAAAAAATGATTACAATTATAAATTTTAGATGCTTTGTGGTTTAAACATGGAAGAGTGTAAATCTTAAATCTTACGTCATTAGGTCGGAACAAAGTCTCTTATCTCTGGGTAGTCTGGGTGGAAATTTTTAGTCTAGTTATAGGAGGTCTTTGCTACTAACCTAACAAACTTGTAAACAAATAAATTCGGAAATTAATTCTGATTATTACTTTATTTACTTATTAAGAACATGGAAAATAATGATATAAAACCAGTACACTTTTTATTTTAATTTTTATCCTAAATATCTACTATGGATGAATCATTAGGAGATATTGCTAGTGAATTCAATGAGGATTTCTTGGCTGACGATGTATCAAGTTCAGGTAAATAATTATTAATATATACCATACACTGCAGATTATCAAGTTTCTATTTTAGGTCCATTAACTGAGGCACCAACAACAAGTAAAACCTCAACAAAAACTCACTGCATACTAGTAAACCCGAAACAGAGAGGCAACCCTTTACTCAAAGCTATCCATAATGTCCCTTGGGAATTCGACGATATAGTCCCCGATTATCAAATGGGTCTAACTACTTGCGCCTTGTTTTTGTCAATTCGTTACCACAACTTAAATCCAGATTATATACATGATCGATTAAAAAAATTGGGTCAGATGTACCAGTTAAGGGTTTTATTAGTACAGGTCAGTATTAGTCAAATAATTTTAGTATGCATTCTATCATTATTATCCAACAAATACATTACAAAGTATAGATTGGAGTATTTTTGTAATAAAGGTAATGATGCTTTTTAACATTTTAACTGACTTAAAAAATATTTTTTTTATGTATGTTCAGCAATAAGTCTTTAACCTGGTGTCTGATTTCAATTATTCTTCTTTTGTTAGAAAGGGGGTACTTCAGGGATGGTCCCATATTAATTTGGTCAAAATATAATTGGGTCCATTAGAAAATCCTCAAACTCTTGATTTTTTATGTATGTTTAGCAGTAATTCTTTACCACCTTGTCCAATTTCTATGATTCTTTTTTTGTTAGTAAGGAGGTATCTCAGGGGTGGTCTCACATAAATTTGGTCAAAATCTAATAATTGGGTCCATGAGAAAAATCCTCAAACTTAATTTTTGATGTATGTTTAGCAATAATTCTTTACCACCTTGTCCGATTTCTAGGATTCTTTTTTTGTTAGTAAGGGGGTACCTTAGGGGTGGACCCATATAAATTTGGTTAAGATGTGGTGAAGGCATCGGCACGATTTTGAAGTCGGTTTTTTAAAATTACTTTTAATATTTGTTTTTATTAATACTTACCATAATTTGAGTATAAAATATTTTCTTTTGAGACAGTGTAAGAAAATCGCAAGTAATATGGTTTAAATGATCAAAAATATCTATGAAATGATACACATATAAGAAACTCAAAAACGAGTATATTAAAAAATTAAGATTCACAAAAAAACTGGCTTACAATGATACCTGAGTAGACAATAAAGCAAAGGTATGTTGGCAATTAATCAATTTTGAAGGAAACAATTTAAATAGGTAGTAATTCCTGATTTAACACTGAATAAAATAATTTCTTCAGTAATATTGCAGATAATATTGTAAGATATTTTCCAAATGTTTCAGCCACAGGACTAAAAAAACATAAAAGAAATATCTATCTAGACATTGTTTTTACTTTTAATGAATATGTAGCTCATTCTGTATTTTATTTTACTTGCTAGATTCATCTTCTGAAGAGATTTAATAATCCTGCCAACAAAGTTAGAGAAACATCTATTTTGTTTTCATCATAATCAAATATTGTTACTATATAATTTTAAATAATGAACAAATTAGGAAATATTAAAATGCAGTGGTTTATAGGTTGACATCAAAGACCCACATCATGTTTTAAAAAATTTAACTAGGATATGCATTTTGGCAGATTTGACTCTTATTTTGGCTTGGAGTCCAGAGGAAGCTGGCAAGATAATAGAAACTTACAAAATTTATGAAAACAAGCCAGCAGAATTTATAAAAGAAAAAGGAGAAACTTCTTCCTACTTAAGGGTAATTATGTTTGTTAAAATTATTAGCACATGTACTTAAATAAAAACATAATCCTAGGACTAATGCACTCAAAGTATTTTGGGGTCTGGTACAAACACCTGTCTATGAGTCCTCAAATTTCAATTTTAAGAAAAAATACCAATCAATGTAGCTTTTTTAATATCCTACATAAATTTATCACTTACCTATGTTAATAACAGTTTGTTACTTTCTTTCCAGTTAATTCAGTCACTTACTGCCATAAAATCGATAAATAAATCAGATGCTGCATTGCTAATAGATAAATTCAAAACTTTGAAGGGTATTCTAGACGCATCTGAACTACAAATAGCAGAATTGCCCCGTATTGGTCTAAGGAAAGCAAATAATCTTTATACCACATTACATGCCAACTTTTGTAGATAGTTGTAATTATTATTATAGTGTATTAGACATTAAAAAAGAATATTATCAAGAAAAGTTGATTATATGCATGATAATTATTTTTTTATGTAATATATATCTTAATATATTTGTACATACATTTTTTCAACCCTCTATAATAGTCAATCAGTTCGTTGATTAAACTAATATTCCATGGAATTTGTACTTTTTGCCTCACATCAAATGAGGTAGTTCTGATTTTTTTTATTATATGTTGTTAGTGATAAGATGGTAATGACAAATCCAAATTTTCCACCTCGAAAGCCCTTCTGACATTGTTAAATACTAAAAAAATTCTTTATATTTTAGGACTTTTTTCAGTTTTTGTCAATTTTTACCACCAAGGACCTGTGTTACGGCAAAAGTTACTATGCACACTTTTTAAGTAAAGTAAATTTGCAATGAAATGAGAATAATTTGGTTTTGGTAGGCCAAATAGTTTATAAGATACGGCTATTTAAAAGCTTACAAAATTTCACAAAAAGGAAGTATTACTTTTAGAGAAAATCATATTTTGTGGAGCTGGTGGTGCCATCATCTGTTAAGTAACAAGGCCTTGTGTACTCTGCATCCAGTCCCAATCGAGAGGATTCTTCTTATTTCCCAGGCACTTCTGTACCTGAACAAAATAAGGAACCATGTATAAAGAATGTAGTCTGAAGCAGAAAGGAATATAAGCAAAAAACTTATTCTCACCTGGTGGTATGTTTGCAGAGAGTGAAACTACGTGTATCATTCCTCTGACTTACAAGAATGAAGGCTGTGTAGAATGATGACTTTGTATCCTTCCTGATTCCATCTTCATTAAATAATGACATGGGAAATGGTGACAATTCATATGTGAAAAAGTCCTTCAACTCTTCATTATAATATTTAATACATGTTGTTACACACTTTCAGTAAAAATCTACCAGACAACTAAAAAAATTGTAATACTTCCTTTTTTTTTTTGAAATTTTGCAAACTATCTGGTCAACTTTGAACAGCTGTCTCTCAGGAACCATCAGGTGTAAGTTGACATAATTGATCTCATTTTTTTGGGAATTTGGTGGACTTTAATAACTAAAAAAAGTAACTTCTCCAATAAACCCACTACTTAGGGGTAAAAATTGTCAAAAATTAAAAAAACTAATACCTCCTTTTTTGGAAATTTTGCAAACTTTTAAATAGCTGTATCTTAAAAACTATTTGGCATACCAAAACCAAATTATTCTCATTTAATTGCAAATTTGGTCTACTTAGAAAGTGTCCATAGTAACTTTTGCCGTAACATAGGTCCTTGGTGGTAGAAATTAACAAAAACCGAAAAAAAAACCCTAAATTTTAATGAATTTTCAAGTATTTAACTGTGATCCGACGGGCTTTCGTGGAAAACTTGGATTTGTCTTTGCCCATTTCATCACTAAAACTTATAAAAAAAATCAGAACTACCTCATTTGATGTACTATAAGGTTGGAGAAAGAAAAGGAACACATTAAAACCAAAATAACTGTCAATCATTCATCTTTAATACATCGTCTTTCTTTTTGTCTAATAAACAAACTAACAGCTAATCCTAAACTAGCAGGTAAGGCTGCAATTAACATCACAGATTTTTCGCTGAAAATATCACTGGTAACTCCTGTGAATAGGGGCGTTACAAACCTAGCCACAGACATTATACTGTTAGAAGCGCCTGATAGTGATCCTGCATGAAGAGCTTTAGATTTTTCAAACATCATCTCCACAGATATCACTCTCATCGCCATAGCACACATTGATATAGGCATTAAAAGTATGATAAAAACAATAAGATTTGTGGAACAATATAAACATATGAAACCTAATGATAATGCTCCAAACCAGAAACACATTTTCGAATAGATATTATCGAAATTTAAAACGGCGTGAATTTTTTTTAAAAACAATCCTGATAATATAGAAACAACGCTAAAATATGATATCATGTAACCTGTATGTTTTTGTGATAACTGGTAAGTTTCTCGTAAATATAAACCTTGGTTTGAAAAGTAACAGGACATTGTGACTCCTAAAAGGAACTTTAATAGGAAGGACTGCCAATGTTGTGACCAATCGATTTCTGTTATCTCTGTTACTGATTTTTTAAATTCCCTTTTTATTGTACTCCATACAGTAAAATCACTTGTCATCATGGTTTGCTGTCTTGATGTTTTTGTTTTGATGTCTTCTGGTATATAACTGGCAATAACTAAAAATAAACTTTATTAAGAATAATAAATTACTTTTATTGAATTTTAAAAATCAATAAGAATAACTTTTGATTGTTTCAGTCCTAACAAAAATTAAAGTTATTGAGATTTATAAATAACTAAAGACTACTTACTATAATTTAAAATGAACAACAGAGCTGTAAAATAAGAAACATAAGAAAAACCATTTGATAATTCAACTAAGTTTCCTCCGACAAGAGGTCCTATAATGAAACCACATGAACCAATTGAAACAGATTTGGCAAGAACATCACTTTGGTCTTGTATTGGTATCAAATCGCTTATCACAGCCTTACAAATGCTTTGAGTGTGTTTGAATACAGCTGAAGCAAAAGAAAATTAAAAAAAAAATATAGTCAGATGCCACATAAGAATTACCTAATAATATCCGTACAAAGAATAAAATTCCTATGGAATTAGTTGTTCCTAGTAAAAAATAACATGTAAAAGACAACAAAAGTGTGCACTTTAACACAGTTCTTCTATCTCGAATGTCGCTCCAGCTACCCTAAAATATTAAATTTCTTTCAAATAAAAACATTGTAATTTCATTGTAACTTACAATCAGAGGACCTGATAATACTTGAATGGCTGAATACGATGCTGTAAACAGCCCTATAGTAGTATGAGAGGCACCCAAATCTCGCAAGTGCTGTGTAAAAGTTGGAAAAAATACGCCCACAGCAAACAAATCCTAAAAATAATAATAAATAGTGATGAAGATTTAACAACAAAATGTACATACCAGAAACGATATTGTATAGATTAAATTAATAGTTCCTAACCACTCCATCGTTTTCTCTCAAAAAATTCCAGTCATTGAAAACGTTTTAACCTTCGCATATTTGATAACAATCATTTTAAATTAAGTAAAATAATTTCAAACTTTAGAGATTTATGTCAAAACATAACCAAAAACAATGTTTACTGTCAACGTCAACAGATCTAAAAAGCTTAATTTATAACCGCCGTAACGTAACTTAAGTACTTAACGTAAGAAGTTGAAATATTGAATTTACGTATACTTAGGGCCCTATTCAGTAATGTAGAACAGAAGTAAAAGTTGAAAATGCTTTTGCCAGTTCTCCCACTTTATACACATAAATTGACAGGTTGTCAGCGGATCTCACCGAAGTGGACGCGATACATTGGCGTACAAAATTATTTTATAGATGTTAATAACAATTTCGAGTAAATAGTTTAATAAATTGTGAATAGCTGTTGAAATTTCGTAAAATTATAATTTGAATATAATAATACATGTTTAATAATTATTTATAATCCATAAATACATGCGATTGTCCGGTTTCGCCGATAACAATTTAAAATTACTTATTCTATGAAACGACACTGGCAGGTAAACATTACTGTGAAATTCTCGGAGCCGCCCGACGTGGTTTGACGTTTACCCTCTCTCTACCTACCAAAAGACTTTTCAACTTTTACTTTCTCTATATCGTTCAGAGATAAGGGAAATAAAGATAGGAAACGCCCATAAGAAGCCAATGCTTAACAACGACCAGCTTTATCGCAGTTAACATCTGACCCGCTATGTGGCGCTTTCATCGATATCAAACAATGTAGCGGGAAATTTAAAAACCTGATAATAAAGGTTGCATAAATATCGACTGCGCTCTCATGTTCTTGTAAATAAACTTAAACAATGTAATTACGCTAAATTATTTATTAAAAAGAATAGTACACTTACAGTCTATTATCGATTAATTATTGTAAATCTATATTCATGACAAATATTTTTTAATTTTTGATTGTTATTTGTAACACTGCATTTTTGTTTTTATTTTGGTATCTTATTTAAAAATGTTGAGTGCAAATTCAATAATGGGAATTCAAATATTTTTCTTCCTATATCAAATCTTCTTTCTAACGTTTTGAAGCCATTTTCTTGTTCTAAAACAATAAATAATACATAGACACCTACTTTGTAACAAAAGTTGGTTACTATTTGTGTTACTTACATGAATAGATCTTACCTTCTTTGGTTAATTAAAGAACGCCACATTGGGGTTGTTAAATTTGTTCATGTGGTATGTGTTACTAATGCAATACGTTCTCCGACTTATTATAAAAAGTATAATTGTTGTCCTTAAATTTCACACAAAAATAGCCACAACTATTTCGCTTAGTTCATCCAGAGGATAACACAATCATGAACTCAAAATTTAAATTCAGGATTCTTCGATATACATAAAACTGACATTTATATTTACAAACTGTCCACAACTGTCAAAGTCTACTGTCTGTCTCAGTGTTGCCAACCGTACGATTTAGATCGTATTTATACGATTTTTTAACTCTCTATACGATGTACGATTGCATCAGTGAGATCGTACGTAAAAATACGATCTTCACTTTTTTAGTAGGTTTATTTAAATATCTGCAACAACTTCAGAATATAAAACAATAAAAATCAAAAACTACTTGCAAAGATTCATATGCCGTTCGTAATTTCTGAAGGCAGTCATTTTCATTCTGACTTATGGTGATTTTGTCCATGGATTTTGTACACCGATTATCACGGCATAAGAAAAGCTTGCATGCAAAATTTCAATCACTTTCAAGTGACAGTCATTGATTACTTTAAATGTGTTAATTTAAAGTTTTATGTATTTTCTTTAGTTTTTTTTTTCGCTGTAAACATTTTTATAAATAGATAAATAAATTATCATATATCATATATAGGAGCTCCTAGTGAAAAGGTATCATCATATTTAAAAAACCAAAATATTAACGTAGCTTTTAAAACCAATAATACGCTTGGGAAGTATATTAAAAAAAATAAGGGTAAAATTAATCCTAATAATAAATCGGGGGTATATAAATTAAATTGTGGTAGTTGTCCAAAACTGTATATTGGTCAAACAGGCCGTACTTTCAAAAAGCGCTATTCCGAACATTATAATAGCTATACAAAAAACAAAAATAATTCTACTTACTCAAATCATATTTTAGCTGAAAATCATTCTTTTACAGACAACTTTGAAATTTTACATATAGAAAATAAGGGCAATAAACTAAACCATTTAGAAACACTTGAAATAAATAGATTTAAAAATTCAGGTAACCTACTCAATGATCAATTAGATATTAATAACTCACCCTTATTAAATCTCTTTCCTAGTTTTCTGTGAGATAATCCCGGTAATGTTACTATCTTATTGTTATTTGATTGATATCATAATTACCTAAGTAGTCTTATTTACTTTAAATAGTTAGTTTATTTTATTATGTTATTGATGTTTTCTTAAGTACTTTGTTTTGTTAAATTATTTCGCATATATATTGGATACCGAATTGTAAATTAGTCACATTTGAAAAAGAAGTTGTACTTCGAAACATGTCATGTGTAGGGTTTTTATTTTTTTAAATAAAAGTTTTGTGAAAATCTACCAAATTTGGTTTTACTCATTCAAGATAATCTTGTGCCTTTAGTGCTGCTACGTAAAAGGTTTTAAGTTGACAAGATATATGTAGTACTTGCAAGTACTACACAAACATAAACCCTTAAAACAAATAGTTTATTAAAAAAAAATACTCAAACGAAAAATATAATAATTGCAAATTACATATATCTAGAGGTAATATAAAAATTAAATATTGATTATGCACCCGACTCTTCTATAATACTTGATTCTGACTCTAAGTCATCATTTTTATTATCTTCAAAATCGTCTTCATAACCTAAAACAAAGCAATTATTAAATTAATATTTTTTTATAAAAACGTTTTATTATATTAAGATTTTTTTAAATTTCTGTTATTAAATTTTTAGAAAAATCATTTGGCAACACTTCATAATCAATTTATCATAATTTAAAATTTTTGTATTGAAGTAAATCGTATTGGTATGTTTTTGCGGTTGCAATTCTAGGTAGAAACGTTAGTTTTCATCATTTTCCAACATAATTTTGGAAATATTTATTTAATTTGCGAATTACGTCGATTTACTATGACCGCCATTTTGCATAAATCCGTTTGAGTCTATAAAAAACTGTTGCTGGCTTTTATGATATCAAGTTGTTTAATTGTAATGAATTTCCTTAGCAAATAATTCAAATATTTTATGTTTACATTTGCAAACGAATTGTAGATGTAGCTTCCATTTCCGGACGTTAAAAGGACTTGCGATTTGACTTCTATCAAAAAATAATGTCAAAATTTCGCTCAAAATGGCTTGTATAAGCAAATTAGTTAGGACGACCACCCATGCACATTATTGATACGTCTCTACTTCAATATTCAATATAAAGCTTTACAAACTTTGATAACCATAAATTATATTCTTACATGAGCTACACATGTAAAAAGGACGCGAATTTGAGCTGACATAGTTGTCAAGTTAGTTTATATTCCGGTTACCTTAGAAAGAATGCTATTTATTTTACTTACGTTCGAAACCGGGGTTAGTGGAACCCACTGCAGGATTAAACATTGAATACGTGCTTTCAAAAAGTGCCGGTGTTTCTTGGAGATAATGAGGAGGCAGAGAAATTTGAGTCATCCTGTCTTCAAACTGGTATGAGGGTTTGTCAGCTACATTTCGGTTCTGTTTCCTACAAAAAGAAACAAAATCAAACGAAATTCGTTACTACCTATAAAAAACATAAAGAAAATATATGTAAATAAATGTTTTATTTGACATTATGTATTTATTGTATTTTATTTTTGGCCCGGAGATGTCAAATTTGTTACAAAAATGCTTTGACGGAAAGAGAGGGGATTCGTAACTCGTATTTCTATCGGTGGGCCGCCATTTTTGGTATTTCGATTTTTTGTACGAACAGTATTATCATTCTTTTTATGTTTCCAATAAACGTTCCTTTTTATGTTTACTAAATAATATACAAATACACCGAGACCGGCCCTGCTTTTAGTTAGAAAGTTTGAATCTAGATGATATCTGGTAGATTTGGCGCCCAACGTGGGGCAGTTATCACTAATCTTTCGGTTAACAGCCTCGATCGATTACAATGATCGTGTGTTCAGCTTATAGCTGTAAAAATCGAAGTGAGGAAAAGGAAGAAAGATAATATAATCGAAATAATAATTTATCAAAATTTGAGGGTGGAAAATTCATATTTTCATTGATTAAAATCTTGAAAATTCTGAATATATTATGAATAACCCACTAAAGTTTAGTGGCATTACAAAAAATTGAATAGCAGTAACATATTTTCATTATTAATTTGGTTTTAGATTTCCTTTGACGTATCCATAGAATGAAATAGTATTAATACTGATACATTGTTTATATAATTAATTTATGATTACACCGCTGTATATATTTTCTGGTGCCAACCGATCGGCATTTTGTTAATTCGTTCAACTTTGTTTCCTAGCACTGACATACCCAATTATTAATGAGATGATTTACAATTAACTAGACTAGATTCTTACTCTACTCTTCTTATCAATTTTTCAACGACACATCTGAAGATCAAAAGGAACACGAGAAATAGAGCCGTACAAACGGCAATCAGGACAATTTGCCATTTGACCCAACTGTTTATATGTTCTTGGGGACATTCAGATATTCCATCAGTAATATATTTTGATGATAATCTATCCCACATAATTTTGAGGTGCTGATCGTTTAATTGGTATCCGCTCCATGGAGACGAAGGATCTTCTTTTAGGTTAACTGGTACGGCAAATGTCACTTTCACGCACGAAGCGCAAGTTGGATATCTTGAAGAGCACTCAACTATTTGTCGAATTTGTACGTTGGATATGCTGCAAATTAATATTATAATATTAATGATATTTTTAATTATATTAATGATATTAGTGAATGATATTGTTCATATTAATATTGTTTATATTAGTGATGTTAATAATATTAATGATAATGATATATGATATTAATTATATTAGTGATATTAATGATAATAATTATATTAATGATATATGATATTAATGATATTAGTGATATTAATGATATTAATGATATTAATGATAATGATGATATTAATGATATGATATTAATAATATTAATGGTATTAATTATATTAACGATATTGACAATGATATTAATAATATTGATAAAGTTAATAATATTGATATTAATAAGCATCTGCTTACGTAATATTAACCGCTAATTCAAAATGTTCAGTTTCGCAATATTCTATGGCCATACGTTTAATCGCATCTCTTAATGAATCAAGTACTTCTTTATTTCTATAATCTAGTGGATTTATGCCAGTTAAATGAACTACCAATTCAGCAGCAACAGCTGACATTGCTGTCGGTAAATAAATCGTGCTTGTACTTATCTCCGTCGTTGTTGTAGTAAGTGGTTCCCCTAGAAAAATGTTTTATACCTAGAGATCGCATTTCCGGTCAAGAGGAATGTGAAAAAGATCTTAAATACGTTTCCAGAAAATTACTCTAGATGTTGAATTACATTCAACATTACACTATTCAATCAATATACATTCAGCATTCTTAATTTCCGTACAACCCCCACAGTTGTCTCTATAGCCCTGCATTATTTCGGCCGATAAGGAAGTTCTCTAACAGATAAGTATGTCATGAGCGTCATCCACTCCTCATTGGTTAAAAATCACGACGTTGGCCTCTAGTTCGCTTCATCCGCATCACTGCGTATCCATCAATCAACAACACCACACGCGTTTCCCGTGATGAAAAGGACGCTGTGGTCGCCATTATAAAAAATATGAAGGAAGCACAAAGGTTCTACCTAATGTGGAAGACGATTTTAAAGGGACACTACATTATTCTAGCTCAAGTACATCCTCAGATAATTGTTTTTGTAGGATCCAGAGTAAGTGGCAGTTAGCTCATGTGTTAGGTCGATTAGATAACATTACTAAATTCGCAGAAAATCCATAAATTTGAGAAAAATAAAGATCAAAACAAGTTGAATACTATTTAGGGTGATAGTCGTCAATAATAATAATAATAATAATAATAATAAAAATCAATTTTTCCAACTTACCAACTCTGGAAAAAATCACAGTCATTGTGCCTGTACCACTGAAGGCAGCGTTCAACTTATTCGTATTAAAAAAATAAGATGGTTTATTAGTTACATTGTAAGTGAACATTAAATTTTCTGTTTCTCGACCTAAAAAATTAACAAAATTATTTAAATGGGCATTACGATAAAATTATAAATCGTTATCTTACAATAGGTGTACTGCAAGGCTACGTTCTTGCACCGCTCCTCTTTCCAATTTATATTTATGATAAAACACTTTATTTCGTTCTCTATTTTCTTATAATTAATATTGTTGACACCAAACCGTCAAAAATGTGGTGCGTTAGGGAAAACCTCTTGGTCTGACAAGGCACAACTCATAACCTTTACTCGGAAAACAAGATTGGAGGTTTTAGAAACTCCGACTCTGTTTGGAGGAAGGCTAAACAAAACGAACCAAGTAAAAAAATCTGGGTCTAATCCTAGATAGCAAACTTACTTGGAACCAACACTTACAAAAAGTGACCAACAAATGTAAAATGTCTCTCATTGTAGGGAGACAGGCATTTGGAAAAACATGGGGATTAAAACCAAAAATGGTCCACTGGCTATATTTGGCAATAACAAGACCCATGAGCGGTTGTTTGGTGGCCAAAAGTAAACCAGAAAAAAACAGCCCTCAGTACCCTCTCAGGAGTACAGAGGCTGGCATGCCTTTGTATTACAGGAGCACTGCGAAGTACACTGACCGCCTCTATGGAAATCATTCTAAACCTCCCACCCCTTGACCTAGTCATAAAGGGGGAGGCCAGAATGAGTGCATACAGACTGGAAATCTCCAACAACTGGAACCCACTGAGACTTATAAAACATACCAGAATAACACATGAAGTAAATGATTCTATATTAAGTATGGGATCAGATCACATAACACCCCTCCTAACCTTTAACAGACTCTTCCAGGTCAACTGTAACTGGAACGAGGTAAATAAGGAGATAGATAAATACTTGCTTAGCGGTCTCGTATTGTATATGGATGGATCTAAAACTAACAAGGGAACAGGCTTTGACGTACATGTAGTTAAACCCAAATGCGACATCATCGTCTCACTGGGAAAACATGCCACTGTATTTCAGGGTGAAATACATGCAATCAAATTATGTGTACGAGAGAATTTAAGAATCCCAGGCAGCAGACTGACGTCATTATGACATCTTATTTTCGTCATACAGGACGTCATTTATCCTCTGAAAACTAACGTGATAATGACGGTAAAATGACGTGAATATGTCACAGCCTAAATGACGTCATATTTAGACGCCCTTTTCACGTCTAAATATGACGTAGTTTTAATGTCACCTTTGTCGTTATTCTTTATACTTATTTAAGACGTCACCATGACGTTACATTTGATATTGTTACTCCTTTGTAACTTTTCTATAGGAACTGTGGGTCAATAATAAAACAAAATTAGAAAATGAAATAATTATAATTAAAAAGAAAAAAGTTTAAATGCATGAAATTTTATTGGCAAAAAACATTAATTTATATAAATCCAACTGTTATTATTTTGGTTGGGCACAATGATTTTTCTGAGTGCCGCCATTTTATACTATTTCACGAATCTGGGAACATTTTAGGAAACATCCTATGAATGTAAAAGATATAAAATCATTAAAGAATAAGGGTAATATAGATATAAAAATACCTTATATGCTGGGTTCATACTGATATAACTTTTTTCACTGACCCTCTTAACTTTTAACAACAATCCTGAATGCACACGGGCCACGATCCACGATGCACACACACCATTACACATGACCGATGCAACAATCTGCGATACCGTTCTCGTGCTTGATCGAACGGCTCGAACACACACGAACCATACTTCACAGACCGATAACCCTAGACAGACGCAGGCATGTGTCACGTGGTGTCATCAGTCTTTATGCATTTAAGCGCCAGATTTAAACGTTAATAGACCTTACAGTTTTAAAAAATAATTGTTTATGCCATATTATTTTATATAAATAAAATGTATTGAAATCACGTTTAATATAAACCTTAATTTAATAGTGACAATAAAATGACGTCACACTAACGTCTAATTTGTGACGTCAAAAAGACGTTAAATCACCTCATTTTTTGGTAACATGACGTCGATGACCAAGAATTACCAAAAAATGTCGTCAGTCTGCTGCCTGGGAAGGAAGTACAAAAAACAAACCATCCTAATTCTCTCAGATAGCCAAGCAGCTTTAAAGGCTTTTGATCAAACAGAATCAAGTCAAAGCTTGGCTGGAACTGCCTTGGAATACTAAATGATCTGGGAACCCACAAGTTAAAACTAGCGTGGGTACCGGGGCACAAAGGTACCAAAGGAAATGAAAAGGCTGATGAACTCGCCAAAGAGGGATCAGATCTACCATTCACAGGACCCGAACTTGAATTTGGGATAAGCAGAATCTCTGCTCGACAGGCAGTGAACAGGTGGATAACCACAAAACACCAAATTCACTGGCAACAGATAAGAGGGCACAGAATCAGTAAGCTCATGCTAAGGGGACCAAACCCACGCATGGTTACTGAGGCACTACAACTCTGAAGGCCTCAGATATCCACCATTGTGGGATTACTAACGGGGCACTGCTTGCTGAAACACCTTCATGTAATGGGATTACATAATGATCCCACTACGTGTAGACTTTACATGGAAGAGGAAGAAACCTCATACCATGTGATCTTCGAATGCGAAGCTCTTACTGGGCGACGTTTCATCCTTTTCGGCCTAGAACCGGAAAGAACGCCCGAGGAACACTTGGTAGGAAACTTATTAAAACTAACCAAAAACACAGGAGGACTATTCCAAAGATAGTACCTGAAAACTGGGAAAGCAGGGGAATATAATAGACCCAAGAGGCCGCAGTGTTCTGGGCCAAACCTAACCCTACCTGCTTATAACCGATAAAGATTAAAAAAACCGTCAATTCTTTTACTCAACACTTTTTCACATGAACGTTGTACTTTGAAGTCTGTCAACACGTTTTATTCCAGCATAATATAATAAAAACCTTCAGTTCTCAACAATTAAACACGTTTATAGCTTAGAATACTAGAGAGTCACCATTATACGATCACAAAAAATTGTGAATTGTTTATTATAGATAAACAAACATTATTTCCTAGAATTATCGAAAAATAATAGTCGAACAAGAAAATATTTTGAAAATATGGAACACTTTGAGGAATAGTTGTTTTAAGTTGAAATCTTACGTGAAGGACATAACTTGTTTGAGTACCTACCTGATGAAATTCTGGCATATCCTAGATTAACTCCATCAATTCTACATTCAACTATTGTTGCGGTTATTTTGTAACCAAGATCGCACTCTATTTGCACTTCCTGCGTTGAACTTGGGTTCCAAGTTATGTTATTTCCATTTAGATACAGTATAGGTATACTTGTGGTTGTGGGTAGTGTTGAAGATGACAGATCGGTACTGGACGTTTCTTGTGTTACACATTTCTGAACCAGTACTAAAAAAAAAAAATGTAGAAATATGCAGAAGAAACGAAAATATAACAAGCGAGTCATTCCCACGCCAATGACTAAATAAAATAACACATAAATAGGTTATATGACGTTACTGACGAAGGATGGAAAGTCGCAATGAAATTACTGGAACATTGGAGATTTCTATATTCTTGCTGAATCGCTTTCGAACATTCGAGTGATTATTTGGCGTGTCGGGCAGAATTAATAGTGGGGAATAGAGACTCATAGACAGAAAAACGTTGAATACGGTTCGCGAAAAGAAGAAGAAAAACTAAACGTATGAGAGAGGATATTTTCCGATGAGTACATCTTTAAAATGATATTTAATAGCTTTTGTTCAGTCTATTATTCCAAATGAAATTATTTAGAATTGCCTACCTACGTGATTTATCTATAACAAAACACTGATAACAATAATGTTCCTAAATAGAAATATTTTTTTATTCATCATTGATAAAAATATTAATAACTTAATTTAATTTTAAAACTCACTCGCTAAAAACAGTTTTATAATTATTAACTCCATAATAAATTTCTTCATATTTTAAAATCACAGTTTTACATTTTTGTTTTCACACAAAGACATCAATTAAATTAGGATCCAAAATGATAATTTTTAATCTTAATACGAAAATCATTGATATTAATACTTTAGATTAGGAAGATTAGATAAGTTTATTGCTGAGAAATGTGCTTCGCTCTACTTAATCAGTGGGTCTACTAAAATGTTGCTGGTTAAAACGTATCTTGCGTCCAGAAAGGTGTTAGCTAATAACCGTTGAAGAGCTCCAGTATCCACCTAGCTCTTGATTCTGTTGGGTTTTATTATTCCATCAGCTCATCTCGATGGAATAATAAAATTAGGTTAAAAAGTACGCGAATCTCAGAGTATCTAAGACGCGAATAATTTCACTAAATTAAACCTTGCACGTTTAAAATAAGACTGTGGATTCTATCCATCGTCTACACCCAGAGGTTCCCAAACTCTTTGGTTTCATAGATCACTTTCAAAATTTTGCCTACCTTTTTTGTAAATCTCGAAAAAAAAGTGAAGATTAGATCTATCTATGGAAACTTGCGTTGTGGCTGAGTTTTAACGACGAATTAACAGTTCTCGAAAAAAAAAAGGTTAGAATTGATTGCTTGATAGGGTTAATTATTTGATAATAAAGTCGACTAAACAAAGGACCCCACTCAAACCTTATGGAAAAGTGATCTATGTGGGAATTGCCTGAATTTTTATTATTGTATTGAGGAAGCCTTACTGATTAAAAGTTTCCATTGCGCCAAAGTCCAATTACCAATAGTTTCGGAGATACTGGCCAATGAATGTCTCATTCGCTCAAACCTTATGGTAAAGTGATATATGTGGGAATTGCCTGAATTTTTATTATTGTATAGAGGAAGCCTTACTGATTAAAAGTTACCATTGCGCCAAAATCCAATAACCAATAGTTTCGGAGAAACTTACCAATGAATGTCTCATTCGCTAAACGATCGTTTTCGTATTTTACTCATTGGATGTTTGTTTCTGTTTTTTATCTTATTTTATACTATTTTAACCCTCTGAATGCCCACAACGACACGTTGTCGGTCAATTCAGCTTACGCGCGAAGCCCATCACCGACACGTCGTCGGCCAGGTAGAAATTTTTAAAACAGAATAGATTAGGACTAGAATTTCCTGACCAAATTAATTTTTCAGATGGTTATTTATTAATAGATCATTCTCTGAGAAGGTTTCTAAGTTTCTAACATGGTATAACAAAACCCCTTTGACTTTTTTAATTTATTTTTCACTGCTGATCTCTTTGATTTGATTTTGAGAAATACAAACGAATATACAGTTCAGAAGTTTATTTTTTATGGTGGTGCAACATATACTGCAGTGGGGGGCACAGGGCATGTAGATAAAGTAGTTACAAAATTGTTAGAACCGTACTTAGAACAAGGACATTCTGTTTATTTGAACAACTTTTATAATAGTGTAAAACCTTAGCTAAAACACTATTAGAACGTAATACTTATATTGCACTGGAACATTGAGATCAAATAAAAAAGGTAGTCAGAGTAAACTCAGAGTAAGAGAAAATGTAGTAAAATATAATCAAGAAGGAATATGTATAACCAAGAAGTGCAAGAGAGAAGTAATGGCCCTGTCTAGTAAACATAGTGGGGATATGATTAATGTCCAGACTAGAAGAGGAAATGTACAATCGAAGCCTCGTCTTACAGCAGAATGTAACAAAAATATGGGCGGAGTTGATGAAAAAGAACAAATGCTAGCCTACTATCCGAGTGATCATAAAACTCTTCGGTGGTACAAAAAACTTGACATTTATATTTTGCAAGTCCTTTTGTTCAACATCTACATACTTTACAACGCTAATATTTAAAATAAAATGTCCTTGTATGATTTCCGTTTAAAAATAATAGAGAATTTACTACAAATACCGCAGAGACCTCCTAGACCTCGTTTTGCGAGAATACGCCAAAATCATTTTCCTGCCCATTGTGAAAGAAATAGAATAAAACGTCGACGGTATAAAAATTGTTTTGAAATCCACCAGTTGAGAAAAAATTGTCAATTTTATTGTCCAGTTTGTGATGATCAACCTAGAGTTTGTATTTCACCATGTTTCCAGGAATACCATCAGCAAAACAATTTATTTTAAAATGTATTTAGTTTTAACAGAATAAAATATCAACATTTGCGATGTAGATTATTTTCTTTTATAACATTACTCTGTAATTATTTAGAATCCGGCATTAATAATAGCTAGCGGGCACTCTGTGGCGGCACCATTCAAGACCTGGCGGGTTTTTTGTAGCTTTTTTGTTACACTATTTGCAAATTTGTAGCTTTACCCAGGTCCGAAAAAACAGCGGATCCACTAGCTTGAATTTCCATAAATTCCATAGTAGCAGCACAGATTCAGACCCAGCTGGTTTTTCGTAACTTTTTTGTAGCTTTTTTGTTACGCTAGTCTCCCTTTTGTAGCTTGTACTGAACCTGAGAAAAGCGCGGATCCGCTAGCTTAGCGGATATTTGTAGCGGCACCAGCCCGGACCGGCTAATTTTTTGTAACTTTTTTGTAGCTTTTTTGTTACGCCTGTCTCCATTTCGTTGCGAGGCCTGAACGTGAGTAATAATCGTTTCTCCATGAGGTGAGAGAAAAGTGCGTTAATTTAAAATCAAGTTTCGGCCTCTACAAGTAATATGTGCAACTCGATAGTGTGACTATCTGTTGATAGATGGCACCAGTATTGTATTTCACGAATTATGGACATCTTCCATCCAATATATTTTTGAGAAATTTAGATATCTCAAATTTGTTGATAATAGTTCCCGCTATTCGATAGAATTCACCCAGGTGTTCAATATGAGAAGTATGAATAAGCTGTCCAAATAACTTAAAAATGGATTTGATATGGCCATTTCTGGCCTCCACAATCCATCGGGTCTTCGTAATAAGCCGTGAAGCATTAGCATTCTCAGTGGAGAGCTGCTGCTGGCCACGTTCAACAACATGGGGTATGTATTGGGTAATACCCAGAGCCTCTAGCAACGGACCTGCATCTCTGTATCCCCTATTAACGATTAGGATACCCCCCTCCTGAAACCAGTTGCGCATAATGTCGCCGTCATTGTCCAACTCATTGCGCAACATAGCCGCGTCATTATTTCTGGAGTCCGCAAAATAGGGGCCCTGAATGGCCAATATATAGCCATCAGGAGCAACAAGTAGAGCTGGTTTCACAAGGTTTCGTCCTTTATGAATTAAAAAAGTCTGTCTTAAGATGCGAAAGTTGCTCTTTTGAACGTAGGCATAAGTACCATCGATATAGACAATGGCTTTAGGAATATCATTGTACAAGGTGTTTGCGAACTCGGGAACATGTTGAGCCATGAAATTCTGGCGGCTAATAGCCTGGAACCCAATATTGTTGGGAACAAATCGTTGAATTAAAGATTTTCTGACAGTAGCAATAATTGTACTAACATAATGGAATATAGCTTTTATGAATTCGTCTGATAGTCCCTGCCTCAACTTGCAGAGAAACGCTAAGAGATTCTTTTTTTTAACATAATGAAAACCGCCGTCGGTGGACACATGGTCGCAGAACGTATACAATTCATAGAACTGCTCTTTGGTCACCGGTGAAATGCATTGAAATTCCACATCGGCAATATAATTCTTATTGATGATAGTCAAGCCAGCTTTAGCCAATTGACGCAGTTTTGACAAAAAGATACAAGGACGAAGTACGGAGCGTAAGCCTATCAATAGCCTTTGGAAAAGTCGCCCAGTGTCGTCAACATGTAAATTACAACATTTTGTATTTGGGGGAATATATATCAACTTTCACGAATACATCAACTCTTGCGTTTGGTTAGCTGTTTGTGTCAAAACGTTTGGATCTTGCTCAAGAACACGCAACTCTCTTACAATCGACCTGTTACAAGCCGCACATGCTCTTGTTTGATCATCTATATCGATCAAGGGTCTGTTTTTGGCAAGACGTCGTTGGATAGCAATGTTTCTCTTATCAATATCATTGACGCCATCAATACGTACCATTAGATTTGGACGAAAAGCAGCAGGACAAATGAAGCAGGGCATGACATCATTATGCGCCATGTTTAGTCTTTGTAAAAAATAATGAACTCTCACTAGTAGGTTTAATTGACACTCTTTTACAGAACAAGAAAATTATATAACCTAACTTGACAGAATGACAATGACAAATACTAAAAGATATACAAAAACAAATGATGAGTTGAGAACTAGAAATGGAGTTACTTTCGAGTAGGTATTCGTTACTTTCGTATCAAGTAATCATTCCAAATATTCGTTAATTTGATTACTTTGACTATTATGGCATTGTTATGAGTAAAGACGTAGATTATTGTTATTTCCAGTATTCGTTATTTAAGAAAATTAATTATATTCCGAAACCCTGTGAGGCAAAAACCCGTTTTAAAAATGTTTACTTTATAATTGTATGTGTAAATAGTAAATATGCATCGATCACGATATAACGAAAATATCCGTGTTCGTAAGTATTCATATTCACTTCCACTTCATCATCCTCCAGGCATTCCCTATCATAGCCAATGCGAATATTCTACACCGCGAACCGTAGTATACGAGTAATAATGTAATGTAATCATTTGGTTTTTTGATCGTTACTTCGGTATCTTCAAGTAACGATACTCGAATGGTTACTTTTTCAACATCACTATTGACATCTATTAATTTTTCATAACAGTCTTAAAAAATTCCCTTGGTATAGTTCAAAAGAAGATAGAACACAGAAACTTCCATAGAGTAAAGTACGAAGCCGATCGTTTAGCGAATAAGACATTCATTGGCCAGTATCTCCCAAACTATTGGTTATTCGACTTTGGCGCAACGGCAACTTTTAATCAGTAAGGCTTCCTCTAAACAATATTAAAAGTTCAGGCAATTCCCACATAGATCACTTTTCCATAAGGTTTGAGCGGGGTCCTTTTCAATTAAATTTAAATTGATTGTGCTGTGAGTGGATGTCATAAAAGCAAAGTTGGCCAAACGAAAAAGTGACTCCATCCAACTTTATTTTTTGAAATCTACAGTGACTCACAGCACAAGAACCAATCAATTCTCAATTATTTAGAAAACGTCCCATTCGAAGTGGTAAAAAGAAATATAAGGTTCTTTCGTTCGCTATTGGTGTAGTGTCCACCAGTGTAAATTACACCAGTTACACCACCTTATTTACCCTAATTTACTTCCTCCTTATTCCTTATACACATCGTCGAGTGTAATTCACTCCTGCTAAATAGCTGGTGGAGAAAATATCCACCAGTGGACACCACATCGCCGACAGGAAGGTATAGTGGGTTTTACACCGGGCCAAACGAAAGGTTTAGTGTACGTTGGTGTAGTTCATTCCTACACCAATGGGACGAACGAAAGAACCTATTGTATATTTCCTTGTGTTGTAGGTATTTATTTAAATATATAAATTATTACAGTATTAATTATTATTGTTATATAATTGTAAAGGAGTGAAATAAAAACGAACGAAAGGCATTTATACAATTTTATTTTATGGCCATCTAAACAATAGCTTTAGCGATAACACATCAGTCTTACATTTACATAAATATTTAAGCATTTCTTAGCATATTAACACACTTTTTAAATGGTACGTTCTTAAAAATCGTAAAACTTTAGATCGACAGGAAGGCGTTCGATCAAAACTTTTACCATTTCTCTTTTTTCACTAACATAAATATAAAAAACATTTTTAAAAACGCATTTATAAAAAGAATACATTTGGACAATCAATATTTAAAAATAATCTCATAAGCAACTGCTTTTACCACTAAAAATTTACAAAAAAATTAAAACGAACAATAATATAAAATGATAAAATGACTGGAAAAACTTTTTGCGTTTTGATATGCATAGAAAATGTCAATAACAGCTTTTTAGCAAAAATAACGGACAAGACTATGTTTTTTTTTACAATTTTATTTGTCCTTTTTCTTGAACTACGATTGAGATAGCTTGGAAAAATATTTTTACAAAAATGGCTACAATACAAGGTGTCTCTAAACCGTTACGTCCCAAAACTATAGATATTTAATTTTTTTATCTGAGGATTTCGGAAATAACTTTCCAATTTTTTGAATTTGAACGGTTTCTAACGAGGCACCAAGTAAGTAATTTTTTTACAAAAAACCGTACAATATTTTGTTTTCATTCGGTAGACAGATATGTCTTTTATAAAGCTGGATCAAAAAGTTACTCTTCTTTCGAATCTACTGGAAAAATGAGCACCGTACAGTGTAAAAAATTAATTACAAAAATAACTATTTTTTAAAATTGGTCTTCAGACTTAACTAATGATTTGTTGTTATAAAATATGATTTGCGCCTAGGTTTATAAAAATCGCTTGAGATCTCTTTGTCCGTCTCCATTGTTAAAAAAAATATGAATAAAACTACAGATAAAAACGTTAAAAATGTAAGCATATATTTGATTTTTTTTTTTGAAGATAGCTCCGTTGTTTACGATGAGGAAATTCAACTCGATTGCTCCTTTTTGGATTCTGAAAATAGAGAACAGATTATATGCGACGGGTTCAGAATAGAAAACAAAAATTTTAAAAAGTATAAAACTTTTTAAATAGTCAAAAATTTTAAAAAAATCAAAAACTTTTAAAAAGTCATAATCGTTAAAAAGTCATTTTTTTAAAAGAGTCAAATTTTTCATAAATACAAAATTTTGAAAGTCAAATTTTTGAGTTAAAAATAAAAAGACCAAAATTTTGAGTTGAAATTAAAAAAAAATTGAGGAAAAAAGTAATAACAAAACGAAGGATTGGTAATAGTTGAAAAACTATAGTATTTTATACAACGACGTGCTGAAACCACAAAAATTTTAAGAAAAGTTAAAATTTTATAACAAAACAACGAAGGATTGGTAATGGTTAAAGAAAATAATAGTGTATAAGTCAAAATTTTAAAAAAGTCAAAATTTTGTGAAAGAAAAGGAATACCCAACAGAAAACGAAGGATTGGCAATGGCTGAAGAAAATAAACAACATAGTATTTGTGCGGTGGCCACAAAAAATTACATTTTTAAAAAGTCAAAATTTAAAAAAGTTTTGTTGTAGAGAAGGAATTTTTAACAGAAAACGAAGGATTGGTAATAGTTGAAGAAAATAAACAACATATAGTATTTTATGCGATTGCGTATTGATGCCACAAAAAAGACTTTAAAGTCAATTTTTTTAAAATGTATAAATTTTAAAGTCAAAATTTTGTGAAAGAGAAGGAATACCTAACAGAAACGAAGGATTGGTAATGGTTGAAGAAAATAAACAGCAGGTTATAGAATTTTATGCGACAGTGTATTGATGCCACAAAAGAAGACATTTTAAAAAAGTCAAAAATTTTGAAAGATAGTCAAAACCTTTGAAAAAATTAAAATTTTGTGAGAAGAAATGAACACCTAACAAAAAACGAAGGATTGGTAATGGTTAAAGAAAATAAATAACAGATTATAGTATTTTAGACGTCGGCATACTGATGCAACAAAAGACATTTTTAAAAAGTCAAAAAATTTTGTAAGAAAGTAAAAGTTTTAAAAATAGTCAAAATTGTGAGATTATTGTATTTTATGTGACGGCGTAGGTGCTGATGCCACAAGACATTTTTTAAAACTCACAATTTAAAAAAAAGTAATGAAATAAAAAGTCAAAATTTGTAGAAAAAAAGTCAAAATTTTGAGGAGGAATGGGAATACCTAACAAAAAACGAAGGATTGGCAGTGGTAGAAGAAAATAAAGAACATTATAGTGTTTTATGCAACACAAAAAGATAATTTTAGTCAATTTTTTTTTAAAAAGCTTAAAAGAAAGTAATTTTTTAAAGTAAAAATTTTGTGGAAGAAAAGGAATACCTAACAGAAAACATCGGATTGATAATGGTTGTAGAAAATAAAGAACAGATTATAGTGTTTTATACAACAGCATACTGGTGTCCTACCTATTTAAATGTTTATCTAGGATTCCGCAACAATATAAAAATTGGCAAAAGAAGATTGAAATAAAAAAAAGATTTAAAAATTTTGTCTTAATTTTTCTTTTTGTTTTATAACGGACATTATTCATTCCTTTGACAGTTTCAGCTTGCAATTTCTTAAATATTGTACAGACTCGTTTAAAATTTGCATAATCATATTTATGACATTTAGGCACTCATTTTTTCAAATGAAACATGTATAACCTATAAAAACTGATCTCACACGGCCCTGTCGCATTGTCAATTATAACCTTTTGAAACAACAAATTGTAAGGTCAAGACATGAAAAATAATAATACTGTCTTTTGTCTCTTTATTGAAGGTTAAAAGATCTAGTCAATCAGGTTTGAAATGCGAGCGTGCGTATAGCTGTCACATCGAAGTATATAAAGACCTGAAGCGGGAGCATCTTTATTATATCAGTCAAGCATCAACATTTATCACCATTCTTCTCCATTGAATGGAAAAGTAAAGTTGTATATTTTCAATAGAATTATCCAAATTTCATTTTCGTCGGTGAATAAAATATGTTACTGTTTTTAAACCAGCATGTTTTACTTTCCATTTGCTAAATTATTCCAGAAAAAGAATAAATATGATCCCTAACAGGTAATAGAGTACAAAATGCTTACCAGATTCTCCCGCCGAATCACCATTAGCCACGGACTCCTCCTTCTTTTCCTCTTTCTTTTCCTCCTTGGCGTTTTCTTCCTTCTTTTCTTCCGGTTCCTTCTTCTCCTCGGACGACTGCTTCTTCTTGTCTTCCTTATTTTTGCCCTTGGCGGGAGTGGCCGGTTTGGGTTTGGGCTCTAGACTCGGATCCAAAATTATTTTGCCGACGTTCTTGCGGTCGTGCATCTTTTGCATTGCCTCGGCAACCTAAACCGAAAGATTATGAAAAAATTTTGCCGAATTAAATCAATCTAAAGCTAAAAAAAAAGTTATTTTGGGTATATATACAATGTAAATGTGACTTACGTCCTCTAGCGCCCAAGTTGAATCGAGCAGAGGTTTGATCTTCTTCTCCTGGAACAGTTGGATCACTTTTTGGACGACCTTCTTGACATGGTCGGCGCCATTTTGCTGGTACATCAAACGTCTGAGATTGAAACCAGATAGTGTACGATTTTCATCGAAAAGTTTCAATGGGGAGATTTTGTCTACCTGCCACCACTGAAAGGAATTTATTACATTAATATACAAATAAAAACTTGTAATCCAGTTCGACTTACAGATCTGGCAGCGCTAAAGAAGCTCTTGGTCTCTCCGGTCACCACATTGGAAGACCCATACAGAATATATTTCCCCATGGGTTTGAGCAAATTGTAACCTTTGTTGCATTCCTCCCCGCACAGACAATCCAGCACGATATCGATGCCCTCTGGCGATACCTTGCGAATTTCGCTGACGTAGTCGGAGCCTCTTTCGAGGAGGTGATCGATCGGCACCTCGGCGGTTTTCAGAGCTTCGTGCTTACCCTTGGAACACACGCCGAAGATCGTTACATCTGGGACGGTCTTGGCAAGTTGGACGATAGCTTGACCCTGGAAATGATAGAAAAGGTGTTATATAACATGTATTTGGTTCTACTGTAAACTGTAAAGCCGGCTGTTTTAAGAGTCACGTGAACCGTGAATCAATTAGTAGTTTAATATCTATATTTCCAAGCAGGGCAGGCCTAGCTATGTTATACAAGAGTGTCCGTCTTCAATTTCATAAAAACGTCTGTGAACAGTGATAGTTTGAAATAAGAACAATGTGAATGTAGAGACAGCGTTCTGTTCTGTGATGTTCAAGGTATTCACGGGACGAGTGCAAAAAGTGCTTTGATAAAGCAATCTTTAGCTAGTAAGTGGGGCAAATGTCTAAGCTGTCAGGTAACGACATAGAAAAGACAACGTATAACCATAAATCTCTTTCCGAGAGCTATGCCTATAACATTTTAAATAATTTGAGGTTGTCTTGGAGGTGAAACTAATGACGAATATCTCATATTAATGTCCCACTAACAACTTTTGGCATATTTTTTTATTGCATTTTCTTTATTGTTTCCAACAATTTAGAAAATTAAACATATGTTTCAAACGTCACGCCCTCCACGGAGAAATAATTTTCCATGTTCTTCGTTTCTCGACGTCCAGAGGCGGGACCAGTATTGAATTATCTCTGGTAAACAGTAAACGTTGTCCGTATTGATCGCAAAAAGCGTCAGATTAAATAAAGAGAACTCGTTTTTTTTGTGATTTTCTTACTTTTATTAGCAGAGTGAGTAGGTGTTGGATCGAGTCTGATACCCGGCTAAAACTGATTACGTTTCAGAGAGATATAAGTGTACTAAATTTTCTTTTGAACATAAAAATACACCAACTGAAAATTTTTAAATTAGTGTAATGGCCAAAAAATACGTTTTTTGAAATATTTTATCTACCACTAATTTGTAGTTAATATGTTTAATATACAAGTGTTTATTTACTAATAATAATATCGATTATCCACTGATTTCTAAATTAAAAGCTTACAATTTTGGACTTCATCCCCTTATAGAGCTTGATTTTTGCTAAAATTTTCAAGTTGATATCATTTTTCGTTTTTGACTTGGACCAAAAACGTAATATCGGATTTTTAATAAAAGTTATTTAAAATTTGATGAGAACGATTTTGGTACTATAAATTTTTAAATTTGGACCAATATTAATAATTTTGATTTCTTGAAAATAAACCTATAATACTCCTCACGGACTACTGTGTGAAGAATACTCTTCACACAATAAAATTCATACAATAAGAAAAGAAATGGGCAAAATCTCGGTTATAAACGGCCAAATACCCATTAAATAGAATCATATCATATATGATTGTCACTTAGGTGCCTACTTGATAAAGACGTCAAAAAGTTGCCATAGGCTATACGCAGTGGCAGTGGTTAAGCGGGTAATTGCTTATAAAATAAGTAAAAATATAAAAATTCGATAGAGTATTTTCCAATTCCGAATAACCCAACGCATATTGCCCTTTATTGCATGGGCGTCCGGAAGGGGGGGAGCGGTTGTCCCAACTTGCTTCTCATTTTGGTAATTCACTATTATTATTTTTGTATACATATACAATTTAATTGTTTACAAGCTGAGTTTTTTTGGATGCCCCCCTTGACTTTTTCCTGCGGACGCCCTTGCTTTATTGTGTTCCAGATCGTTGTGAATTTAAATTAAACGGTTATCTTTCTGATTTATAGAAAACTGTGAAGAGGCGGTCTCAAAGTGCCCTTTCGAATCATTTCTGGAAATAATCTCTCGGCTTACAGCCCGAATGAAAATATTTTCTTTTGTAATGCAGCATAGGAATAAAATATCTCGTCGTTGCTTATAAAGGGTAAAACGCTATTTCTCTGAGAAGGGTGAGATTAGACGAGATTGATGATGATAATGGTTGTCGTATTTTTAAAATAATCCAGTAATATTTCTTAAAAAAAATTAATCTACGAGGTCTGGTTGGAAAGATCGTATGATGATGTCTTAAAAATCGATTTTTCGACCTTCCAAGTCAAAAAATTCCATTATTATGAGTTCTAAGTCGCAATAATCTATTATTTTGAGTTACAAGTCAGAAGAGTCTATTTTAAGTTGGAAAAATAATTAAAAATATTTTGTGGCGAGTTTGATTACTATGTTTGAGTACCCAGTAATTTTTTTTGACAACCCTTAGAAAAACAAATATTTAAAAAAAAAATGGCCTTGTGCCCGCTGGTCTCCAAAGTATATATTTTTTAAGACTGCATGCATGTATCATACGATTAACCACTCAATAGACTTTTTTTGGCCACCTCTTAAAATAATTTGATTATTGACCATTTTTCCAAGTCAAAATACGATTTGGAAATTATATTTTTTGAATTTTCACAAGTTTTGGACTCATTATAATTATTTTAGAGGATGGTCAAACGCCGAAATATAATTCTAAACCTTTTTGGACCATTTTGTGCCTTCCTGTGAATTGACCTTTTTTTACAAGTTGAAATTAGATTTGGAAATTACTTTTTTGAATTTTCCCACTTTTTTGGGCTCATTATAATCATTTTAGGGAGTGGTCGAACATTTAAATATATTTATAGAATGGTACAAATGAACTACTTTGTAATATTTATTGTATTAGAACACTTGAACATTTTTGAACTATTTTCTATTCTTTTAAAATTTTGTAGAAAGCATTTAGATGTGTCTTTGAAATTACAAAAATGTCTCTATTTTAGAATTTTTAGGTACCCTATTTTGATAAAAAAAAATATTGTGCAGTTTAGATATAAATTACCAACATCTAAAGTAAAAATAACAATATCGGAAGCAAAAATAAATAACACATTGATTGCTCGACAGGCGTAAATTACGTTACAAGTAGAAAACATGGAAAATGAGTTTTTTATCGACCTAACACCGACGATTGACGATAACGACAAATAGATAAGGCGAAAATGCACGGTCGAAATATTCCATCCATTTTAATGTCGTTTTCGAATCATGCTATGGGTACCTTTATACCGAATGCAAACTGCACGAATGCATAGGAAAGGAAGGATCTACGGTTGACACATGTATTTGACGAACAAAAGAATTAAATATACCTACCTGTTAGGTACCTGCTTATTGTTGTTCCAGAGGAAATAATTTAGTGTTTTTTTGTTGTTGTAAATCATAAAAATGAATATAAAAATGTAAATTAGAGTCATTTTAGTAATCATAGTTTATGACTAATCAGTGGCACGTAGGTACACGGATATAAAAAATACAGAGTATTTTATTTGTAGGTTATACAGCGGAAGATATAAATTTTAATACAAAAACGATATCTTATCCGATTTTCTCAAGTTAAAAAACCTAATTCTATCGACATTGTAGGTACACGTAGGTAAATTCTTTGAAGTTATGGTCCGCAAATGAACGTTGTTGAAAATTCCGATTTTGTTTATCTGGAGCAAGTCCGCTCGCTGTTGTTTCGCTACTGCTCAAATTATAATTCTTCTAAGACTTCCTTGAAGAGGAAAATCTGCATAATGTAACAAGATTAACTGACAGAAGGGCGCAAAAGGAAAACAAATATTAAGTAATGGCTTAAAGCTGTTGAATATAAATGACAAATTAAAGGACATCGACTGGAAACGGTTTTTATCAGAATTAGTCACATGAATAGATTTCACAATAGTAGTTTATACAATAAGAGTGGATATGATCGCTATAAGAACAATCCACTCGAATTGTACAATAAATAAAACCTACAACATTTAAAAAAGTAATTTGGATAGCCCTAAGATAAAATTACTATTTTAAAAATAATTATTATAAATATTTGAATTTTTGAATTATTTTATCTAAATGAAACTGTGGATTGCCCAAATACAACTGCATAGTATAGTCGACACTTTGCGATCCGTCAATTTCCGCTTTTAAATACAGTGTGTGCCATACGCCATACAGTTGGATCCATATTGAATTTTTGTTTTAATATTACGATTGGAAAAAAAACTGTTGGGCAATCACCTCTTATTAAAAAACTTAAAATAGCCCATATCAAAGTCTCTTTCACAACGCCGGTTTTCCCGTTTGAATTGGACCAATAGTAACTAAGATAAATACTTAGGTCCTTTTGACATTGCCACTGCGCATGATTTTTTCTTCAGCGTTAATCTATACTCGTTCACGTAAACGATGGCTACCAACTTGCATCTTTTAGCCGAGTCGCAAAGCACTTATCCAAGTTTCAATTTCCCACACTGATCTGTGGCGATATATAGCGACCTAGAAGCATCATTGTGCATCTACTCCACTGACATTAGTTACCTGTCAAATTTGAATTTTTTTAGCCAAACATATCGATTTTGAACGAAATATTCCGACTTTCAGAAAAGTTTAGTTCTTAACATTTTTTGATACATCCCTTTAATTATAGTTTTTGCATTCATTGAAAAAACTACCAATTTTTGTTAATAAAGTTGCGTTTATTATTTATAATTTATTTACACTTAATACCAAATAATTAATTTATAATTAAGAACTATTTATATTTCACACTTATAATCTAATTTATATAACAATTCGAATGTCTTTTTTTATATTTATATACATAAGTGAGTGTGTAAATTCTGAAAACATTCTTATAGCGCATTTGCCATAAATTAAAGTGTCCAGAAGGTCTGCCAAGGCTCCAGTACTAATTTTTCTAAAAATCACCTCGCACCGCCGCCATTTCTTTAAATTCATTATCGTATCACCGGGGGGTTGACTCTAAATATTCTTTGGTAATCGAACAAGTGGAGCCTTAAAATCCCAATTGGTCGGAAATGGCTCGCATTACAATAATTTTCGACGTTGTAGTTATTTTTTACGAATATTAAATTTATGCAAAATCAAATGTCAATCGAATGTCAGTAGCCAACTTTGCGCAGTTTTAAGTTTTTAAATAAGCAGAGGTGATTGCCTGATGACGTTTTTTCCCATATGGATCCAACTTTATGGCCCACGCTGTACTTATATACGAGTAATAACTATTTCAACAA